TTTGGTGACTCAACTGGCTGGAAATCAGATTTAAAAGTCTACAACTATTGCAAGTTTATGTGGTATTTGCCCTTCTAGTGACCATTACATTAATGCTTGTCGATCTTTACAGCAACATTTTGGCCCTGATGCTCCTCAAGCTTATGTTGCAAACGTTTACAACAACAGGCAGTTGTAACCACAATAATAACAAAACTATGACCTCTCTAGTAATAGATACAATCCAAGATGGAAGAATCACCCTAATTTGAGATGGTCCAATGATCCGCAACAGCAACAACAACAACTTCCACCACCAACACCATTCTAGAATATTGTTGGTACGAGTAGACTGTTTATGCCACCACCACCAGTCTAGTAATACCAGAGGCAACAACAGCAGCATGATGTGACTACACCAACAGCTCCTCCTCAACCTTCCACTTCTCAGCCTTCATTGAAGGAGTTATTCAGGAAGATGACTAAGCAGAATATGCAATTCCGGCAAGAGACAAGAGTGACTCTCGGTTACAGTTTACATAATTTTGCATAGTATTACAGAGTGACTCTCAGACAATATCCCTAAAGCATGAGAATTCAGTTAAGACCCTACACTTCCATGAAGAATCGAACGATCACGAATGACGCTCGACCACAATTACGGAATTTACCAGAATACTGCAGTTTGAAAATCAAACCCTATTTCCACTCAGTTCACACCATTTATCAATCATCCATCCACACATCCAAACATGTAGTAACACGAATATTTCATATTCATCAAATAATCAAACAAAGTATCATACAAACATACAACCATTCAGAACAAGAATCTTAATCAAATTATATAAGCTTCCCTTACCTCTAATGTAGCCGAACGCTCAATGATGCAAGTTATAGCTCGCCACTACCAGAGACCTTAGCGTTCTACAGTCACGCTTTAAGAAACTAAACCAAACAGAAGACCAAAAATACTCAGAATAAATGGTCTACTCATGCAACCAAAAATCTAGGTTTGCATGTCAAATGAAACGAACGTGCTAAGGAGAAAGTAACTCACCGGCTTGAAACCACAACTTGATCAGTTTAAACGAAAGCCCTTGATGCCAGTAGAGTTCAAACGGTGCTTGAGAGTGATCGAAAGAAGAAAAGATGAGAATTTCTTAGAGAGAAGGTGGAGATGGTAGAGAGAAAGAGGAGATTCAGAAGGTTGAAGATGAAGGGTGCATGCAGAGAAGTAACACAAAAATTTGAAAGTTTAAGTTTTACTCCTACCGTCAAAACCGATCGTCCAATCTGCATCACACACCTGTTTTCCACTTTCTGAATTTCAGACACCCCTTTCGCTTACACATGTACTCCACTAAGTTGGGGTTTTTATGGGTCTGACAAGTAGTCTGAATGACTTGTAAGCAATCGTTGATTGAAATTCTGAAAAGAATCAAAACACTTGTTGAACATAGTTAAGCTAAGAAAATCTAGGCAAGATTGCTTAGTACTAGGAATGGTGCGAATACTCATCCAAGCTAAGGTAACAAGAGGTTATTTGTTGACTCAAGAGACCAAGAATGGTGGGAATACTCATCCAGTCTAGGATAACAGGAAGTTATTCGCTCATTGAGAAGACTAGGAGTGGTGCGAATACTCAGTTGTAATATTGTTGAAGATTATATTGAAACTGTGGTTTTATCTCTTCTCTTGCTTAAACATTTCTTTTATAAAACTTGGAGCTGTGTTTTTATCTCTAAATACAATAACCTTTCGCACTAAACAATTATTCTTCAACAAAGAAAGTTCCTACAAATTCTACAATTTACATTCTCAATAGCATGTAAAAAATAACTTTTATAATATTTTATTAGGTCGAGCATCTAAATCATTTAATAGAAAACTCAAAACTCAACAACATGCTATTAAAAAAAGGTTGCAAAATTATTTTTCCATTAAGACTACTCTTTTGTGAGACACATGGTCTTGCCGTGTGGCAGACTCCTAATGAAAATAATTTCTTCTTAATAGTTTTCATGTGTCATACTCCTAATGGATAAGATTTCTCCTTAGTAGTAGTCATGTATCATTCTCTTAATAAAAAAAATTACCTTGATCTCTAAGTCAGAATATTAAGATTTTGTTTTTACAATTTGGAAACACCTTTAGGACTAAGTTTATAAATAGATGTGTCTCTTCATATAAATTTACCTCTAAATTGAGTATTGTTATATTGTCAAATTTGTGTCCTACTACTGAACTTAAGTCATTAAGGCTAAAATATCTCTTCTAAATTCCTCTAGTCACCCCTTCTTTAAGAGTTGATCCAACCTCTCTTCGTAGCACTGAAACACCACTATATAGTTTGTCCTTTGCTTGAGTTACTAAGAGAGAGATATTTTATATTTTATATAATTTTGGATTCACTTTAAAACTTAAGCATATTTTGGATTGCGTTTTGCACAAACATCAGAATTTCTAAATATGATTTTATGTAGCGCAAAATTTAACGAGTATGAAGTTAAATGATTCATGAACTTCGGAAAAACTAACATGCAATTTGAGGATAAGATTGCAAGGAGAAACACAACATAACTACCATATTTAGTTGCGAAAAGAACAACCACTATGAATAAACTATTAATGCACCATTCAGGACTAGGGCTGGGCAAAAATAACTTAACTATACTAAACTATAGTTAACTGTACTATTTTATACTAAAAAAAACTAATCTATTTTAACTAAAAACTAATTATACTATTGTCTAGTTCAGTTTAGAAAAACTGAACTTATTATATTTCTAGTGCAGTTAACTAAAAACTGAACTATGTTTAGTGAGTTCCTATCACTTCTACTTTCATTTTGTTCTAAAACTGTAAGTTAGATGAATAACTCTATGAAAAACTCAACCTAGTTACGTGTAGTATTAATCTTATCTCACTTTTAAATACTTATTTTTTCATTTTTTAATTTCTTATGCTATGTTTAATTATATTTTAATTTGATTTCTTTTACATTTTTAATTTTTATTTATATTTTTAATATTTTTTATATTATTTGATATTTATTTATACTATTAAATTTTTTTAAAAATATATGTTCGAAATATTTTTATAACATTTTATATTTATTTTTGTATATATTTTATGATATTTGTATCTATTATTTGTATGTTATGTTTTACGGTTAAATATTATTTATTATGTATTTATTTATGGTTTTTTTATACTTTTGAATTTATTTCTTAAAATTTTATTAATTTTTAATTTTTTTAATATTTGATATTTTTCAATTTGAAATTTTATTTATTTTTTTCGTATTTTGTAATTTGTTTAAATAGTTTTTGTTTATTTCAAAATTTACATTTGTTTGTATAAATAAATAAATGTTCTTTTTCAAGTCTCTTAAAAAGTTAACTATTATTATAATAATTATTAAAATAAAATGATATTATTAAATTTATACTAAAATAATTATATATTTTAAAAAAAACTAAATTTTATTATATTGTAATTATATTTCAAAAACTCGTAATTATTTTTATAACTTAATAAAATTAACTATAATTGTAAAAATAAAAAGATAAAAGTACTTATGTAAATAATTATAAAATATAATATTNATACCATGATTTTATTTACAAGTCTTAATTAATCAAGAAACCACATGAATGTCTAGGCCGTGAGTCTCTAGGGAAACGATACTTAGTCTTACCATTTATTATTACTTGATTCGAATCGGTACACTTGCCGGAGTGTTAACAATTGTCGAGGACCAACGGTTCAATTTTGGCTTTGTGTTAGTGTGTGTTCTGTGTTTGTTTTGTGAGTTGTGCTGCTGGCACTGAGCGACACTTGTGTAGTTTGTGAATAGTGTCAGCTCTTGTCTAATTAATAGGCATTTTTGGTTTTGATAGCTAGGGGTCTTATTTTTTTATTGAAATTTGGTGTGCTCACTTCATTTACTCAATATTTTGATAGAAAAATCCCAAAAACACCACTGGTAGTCCAGATTCTGTTTTGTTAAAAATGGGTGAGCCTGAACTTTGCGACAACATAACTTTTGTTCACGATGTCGAAATTGGACATATCATATGTTCTTTTTGGCTAAAAAAATGAGTTATTGATTGCTTGTCGCTTTAGCCACGAGCCCATGCCTCTAATTCCAAATAGAAGTCGTTTTCTATTTCTTTTTTATTTTTGAAGTTTTATTTCCACCATTTTCATACTTTTTTGTGTCAGTGAACATAGCTATACTCCGAGTTTTGTTTTGAATTTTTTTTTGTGCTATCTTTTCATGACTTTTGAGTGTTTGTCACAAATTTTCAGCCCATTCTGATTTGGTTTTCTTATACTTCATGTTTATCCCCCTATGTTTCACTATGTTGACTTTTGCTGATAGGAGTTGACTTAGTGCAAGACTAGGGGCAATCCTGGATGACTACCACCCTTTGATCCTGAAATTGATAGGACTTTTCATAGGTTAGCTAGACATTCTAGGAATTTGTCTTTAGAGTCAGTCCCACCATTTCAATCCATACCATTACAGTTTGTGCATTTCGATACCATTAGTTTTCATAGTATTGAGAAATCTCCTTTTGTGTCTATTGTTCCATATTTTGTGCATTTTGCATCTGCTACATCTGCTGTATCTGGAAATAATTCCTCCACCTCGCGAGAGGATTCTCAAGGAGATGGTTGCACCTGATTTCACCTATGAAAGCTTGTGCATCCAATATCCTGGTGAGGATGTGCCATATGTTCTCAAGACTAGACAGATCCATTTGTTGCCAAGGTTTCATGGTCTTGCAGGTGAATGTCCGCATAAACATCTAAAGGAGTTCCATATTGTGTTTTCAACGATGAAGCCTCATGATATTCTTGAAGATCACATCTTCTTGAAGACATTCCCGCATTCTTTAGAGGGCGTGGGAAAGGATTGGCTATATTATCTTGCGCCCAGGTCTATCACTAGTTGGGATGATTTGAAGAGATTGTTTTTAGAGAAGTTCTTCCGAACCTCAAGGACCATGGCCATAAGGAAAGATATTTCTGGAATTAGGCAGCTCGGTGGTGAAAGCTAATATGAATATAGGGAAAGATTTAAGAAGCTTTGTGCAAGTTGCCCACACCACCAGATCTTTGAGCAAGTCCTTCTCTAATACTTTTATGAAGGTCTAAACAACATGGAGATAAGTATGATAGACGCTGATAGTGGTGGAGCCCTTAGTGACATGATACTTGTTGAAGTGAGACATTTGATATTAAGAAAATGGCTTCTAACTCCCAATAGTTCAGCATGAGGAATGATGCTATTGTTGTTAGGGGAGTTCATGATGTGGGTACTGGTTCCTCATTTATAAATAGAAAGATAAAGAGCAAGCTTGATACTCTTGTCAATTTGGTGACTCAACTGGCTGGAAATCAGATTTAAAAGTCTACAACTATTGCAAGTTTATGTGGTATTTGCCCTTCTAGTGACCATTACATTAATGCTTGTCGATCTTTACAGCAACATTTTGGCCCTGATGCTCCTCAAGCTTATGTTGCAAACGTTTACAACAACAGGCAGTTGTAACCACAATAATAACAAAACTATGACCTCTCTAGTAATAGATACAATCCAAGATGGAAGAATCACCCTAATTTGAGATGGTCCAATGATCCGCAACAGCAACAACAACAACTTCCACCACCAACACCATTCTAGAATATTGTTGGTACGAGTAGACTGTTTATGCCACCACCACCAGTCTAGTAATACCAGAGGCAACAACAGCAGCATGATGTGACTACACCAACAGCTCCTCCTCAACCTTCCACTTCTCAGCCTTCATTGAAGGAGTTATTCAGGAAGATGACTAAGCAGAATATGCAATTCCGGCAAGAGACAAGAGTGACTCTCGGTTACAGTTTACATAATTTTGCATAGTATTACAGAGTGACTCTCAGACAATATCCCTAAAGCATGAGAATTCAGTTAAGACCCTACACTTCCATGAAGAATCGAACGATCACGAATGACGCTCGACCACAATTACGGAATTTACCAGAATACTGCAGTTTGAAAATCAAACCCTATTTCCACTCAGTTCACACCATTTATCAATCATCCATCCACACATCCAAACATGTAGTAACACGAATATTTCATATTCATCAAATAATCAAACAAAGTATCATACAAACATACAACCATTCAGAACAAGAATCTTAATCAAATTATATAAGCTTCCCTTACCTCTAATGTAGCCTAACGCTCATTTATGCATTTTATTGTTCTCCTCTACTAGAGACCTTAGCGTTCTACAGTCACGCTTTAAGAAACTAAACCAAACAGAAGACCAAAAATACTCAGAATAAATGGTCTACTCATGCAACCAAAAATCTAGGTTTGCATGTCAAATGAAACGAACGTGCTAAGGAGAAAGTAACTCACCGGCTTGAAACCACAACTTGATCAGTTTAAACGAAAGCCCTTGATGCCAGTAGAGTTCAAACGGTGCTTGAGAGTGATCGAAAGAAGAAAAGATGAGAATTTCTTAGAGAGAAGGTGGAGATGGTAGAGAGAAAGAGGAGATTCAGAAGGTTGAAGATGAAGGGTGCATGCAGAGAAGTAACACAAAAATTTGAAAGTTTAAGTTTTACTCCTACCGTCAAAACCGATCGTCCAATCTGCATCACACACCTGTTTTCCACTTTCTGAATTTCAGACACCCCTTTCGCTTACACATGTACTCCACTAAGTTGGGGTTTTTATGGGTCTGACAAGTAGTCTGAATGACTTGTAAGCAATCGTTGATTGAAATTCTGAAAAGAATCAAAACACTTGTTGAACATAGTTAAGCTAAGAAAATCTAGGCAAGATTGCTTAGTACTAGGAATGGTGCGAATACTCATCCAAGCTAAGGTAACAAGAGGTTATTTGTTGACTCAAGAGACCAAGAATGGTGGGAATACTCATCCAGTCTAGGATAACAGGAAGTTATTCGCTCATTGAGAAGACTAGGAGTGGTGCGAATACTCAGTTGTAATATTGTTGAAGATTATATTGAAACTGTGGTTTTATCTCTTCTCTTGCTTAAACATTTCTTTTATAAAACTTGGAGCTGTGTTTTTATCTCTAAATACAATAACCTTTCGCACTAAACAATTATTCTTCAACAAAGAAAGTTCCTACAAATTCTACAATTTACATTCTCAATAGCATGTAAAAAATAACTTTTATAATATTTTATTAGGTCGAGCATCTAAATCATTTAATAGAAAACTCAAAACTCAACAACATGCTATTAAAAAAAGGTTGCAAAATTATTTTTCCATTAAGACTACTCTTTTGTGAGACACATGGTCTTGCCGTGTGGCAGACTCCTAATGAAAATAATTTCTTCTTAATAGTTTTCATGTGTCATACTCCTAATGGATAAGATTTCTCCTTAGTAGTAGTCATGTATCATTCTCTTAATAAAAAAAATTACCTTGATCTCTAAGTCAGAATATTAAGATTTTGTTTTTACAATTTGGAAACACCTTTAGGACTAAGTTTATAAATAGATGTGTCTCTTCATATAAATTTACCTCTAAATTGAGTATTGTTATATTGTCAAATTTGTGTCCTACTACTGAACTTAAGTCATTAAGGCTAAAATATCTCTTCTAAATTCCTCTAGTCACCCCTTCTTTAAGAGTTGATCCAACCTCTCTTCGTAGCACTGAAACACCACTATATAGTTTGTCCTTTGCTTGAGTTACTAAGAGAGAGATATTTTATATTTTATATAATTTTGGATTCACTTTAAAACTTAAGCATATTTTGGATTGCGTTTTGCACAAACATCAGAATTTCTAAATATGATTTTATGTAGCGCAAAATTTAACGAGTATGAAGTTAAATGATTCATGAACTTCGGAAAAACTAACATGCAATTTGAGGATAAGATTGCAAGGAGAAACACAACATAACTACCATATTTAGTTGCGAAAAGAACAACCACTATGAATAAACTATTAATGCACCATTCAGGACTAGGGCTGGGCAAAAATAACTTAACTATACTAAACTATAGTTAACTGTACTATTTTATACTAAAAAAAACTAATCTATTTTAACTAAAAACTAATTATACTATTGTCTAGTTCAGTTTAGAAAAACTGAACTTATTATATTTCTAGTGCAGTTAACTAAAAACTGAACTATGTTTAGTGAGTTCCTATCACTTCTACTTTCATTTTGTTCTAAAACTGTAAGTTAGATGAATAACTCTATGAAAAACTCAACCTA